CAAAGACAAACATTTGAAGCAACAGCAGTGTTGACAGAAAGGTTGATCTGTTACTGATTGGATTTTATTTATTTGCAATAATGGGGACCAATCACAACTGGTCTCATCATATCTTTAAAGCTAAAGAGCCCAAATATTTCCTTTAGTAGTTGGTAGAGACCAAAAACAGAACTATAAGAGTGAATATTGAACTTGCATTCGCTATGCGGCCGTTAACAAGACTCCAAATGAATGATAATGTTGCTCAATGACTGCTGTATGTGTAAATAAGCAACCACTGGATAACAAGTTCATAATATCAAACTAAAAGGTGATATCTCAATGATGTGTTGACAACTTCTACTGCCCTCAAGAGGCCAAACTCTTGGGTGTTCATGGTATTTAGTTAGCGTTACTATGTTTGAACACATCTTAATTAATGTTAATGTGAGCCTCTTGTATTAATTTGTTATATGCTCCTGACTGCAATCAGTACATTTGTTTTGTTGTCTTAAAAGCAGAAGAAAGCAGTAGTTAGAATAGTTGCATTGTTCTCTACATTTAAACCTGCCCCCTGTAAATCTCTGTAGAAAAACCAACAAATATATGTGGTATTGAATATTTCTGTCTGTGTTTGTGAGCTACTCCATTTATTTTTTATTACGTTACTTCAGGGTGAAATGGCCAGTGATTTAGTCTACAAACTGTCCTCAACTTCAGACGGCTGAAATAAAGTCTAAATTGTTTCTTGCCCCTGCGTTGCCAATTTCTGTCTCGCAGTCACACACCTATGCACACGTTGAACAACAGAGTGCAACAGAGTGTGGGGGCGTGTGTGTGTGTTTCTATCTCCTCCACTACAGATGAATGTTTGTGCATGTGTGTCTAGTTTGGGCCAGATGGGCCAAAAGCAGTGAATCTAATGTAATGGAGTATGATAATTAGATTATACAATAAGTCTGGGCTGCTCAAAAAGTGATTCTGGTTTGGCTACAGGGTTGAGAATAAGAGTTATTGAGTCACTCTGCAACAACAAAACACCTTCACACACACATTTATGTACTCGGCATCTGCGTAAAGTCCCACTGATCAAACTGAGAGATCTGTGCAAACATCACACCAGCCTACACAAGATGTCTTTGTCATCATTTTAGTTCAGTGGTATACAAAGTCCAAAGGCAATTGCTGAAGCAAAATGTAATATAGTCTTGAAGTGTAAGGTTTTTCCAATTTCCTGGAGGAAATATTGAACACCTAAGCCAAGGAATATGAAGCTTATACAGTACTGTAGGCATAGGAGCCAAATAGACATTTTGACACGACTTTGGAAAACCACATATGTAATTAAAATTATTAATAAGGGTTGCTGTGTTAGCTGGCTAACTGACAAGGCCTACAGTCACACCTAAACGGATCATAGCCATCGTGCCATGACAAGTCTTCCAAAACATTATACACACGTACACATCATTGGGCAAAAATGATCTCAAGTTACCTTGCTTCTGAAAAAAGGGTTGATTTTAACAAGAAAGCGAAACGTGCCTCACCGGGAACTATGAACTATGGAACATCTGGAGGAGATTCGGAAGAATAATGGCTCTGCACACCCACACAGGTGTGAGTTAGTTGGCTGATTAGACCTCTTCTGAAGGTAACAGGAAACTGGCCTATCCTGAAAATTACCTAAGGCTGACAGAACTCCATCTACAAATAAGAGTGATAAAGGCAAAAGTTGTCCCCATTGACAAGTGCAACAGAACTAATGAGAAGGAAAGGAAATGTCAATCAAGGATGCTCTGTACACCCACAGAGTCCTGAGAGGAGATCTAATCAAGTGAAACACACTGAATGACACTCTTTTTGCATACATTTAAATAATGTCTAGTGAAGCGCTCTTACCTTCCAGTGATCAGTAGGAAGAGGGTGAGGATGACGAGGAGGGTAAAGCCACCAACCGCTGCTGTCACGATAACCAACACCTGGCCTTGGTCAGAAGCAATGTCTGATGCTGAAGGTGGGAGAGAGTGGAGGATGGTTAGGACAGAGAAGATGTGGAAAAGAATACAAAGAAGAAGAAGAAGAAAAAGGAACAGAGGATGATGGGAAAAGGGAGAATGGATAAATTAAAATGGGAATGTAAGGATGACAAAAGCAGTGAGGAGAGAAAAGAGGGAGATTGGACGGATGGGACGTAGGATAAAGTGAGAAGAAAGAACACATTTTCATTTCATTCAACATCATCTTAAATATTCCTTTCCATCAGTGCACCATACATACACCATGTACGCTCTCTTGATAGGCAGATATTATGGAGAGATGTTTGATCAGCTCTTTGTAATGCAAAAAACCTTCCGTCAGCTTTCGTACTGGAATGATTCATATGCCTGCTGCTGTTTAATTAATATTATTCATTCATGAAATTGTGATTTAGTCTATGATCATTTGGTTAAATTGGTCCCATTTGATATTCATGATTTTCCCTTTTCTGTGTCTTGTCACAAGGCTAACGAATCCAAGATAATTGAAAGATGATTGCTATTACCAAACTTATTTCTATAATATTTCACGCTTAATGAATATGAATTGGAGATCGGGGTGCGTGGTCGCTAGCCCGATGAGCGGGGCTCATGCTGCTTTATACAGTATTTGGGTGTGCTAAGTCAAGAGCATGTATGTGTGCGCAGGGTGTCAAGAATATGTGTGTGTGTGTGTGTCGTTCGCTGGATAAAAGTAATTACAGACCACTCAGAGGGAGGGAAAATGAAAGTGGCGGTGGCCAGATCACACAAGACAATTCTCCCGGCCGTCAGCTTCATACACTCTTCACATCACTAACTAAGCAGATGTGTTGGACTGATGCTGCTGTAATGAGTTGTGTGTTTGTGCATGTATGTGTGGAGAGAGAGAGAGAGAGGGAGAGAGAAGGGCGGTGGAGGACAGCATGAAGAATGCAAGGTGAGGGATGAGGAAACGGATGACAGAAGAGAGATAAAGACAAACAAGAGAGAAAGAGAGAGGCGGAAGTGACAGACAAATACACAGATGGATGGAAAAACGAACGCATGAGACAGTGACTGACAGGCGGAAAGACAGACTGACAGGGAGGGAGAGAGCGACAGGGTCCAAATCTGCTTTCTCTTTCAGATAAAAGGCCAGCCAGTACAAAGGCTTGGCCAAGCACCGTCTGATCCGCAGATAAAGCAAAGCTCTGCAGCTTTGGAAGGGAGAGGGCCACTGTGAAGCCAAATCACCCTTCAACAATACCTGACCCAACATAAAAGGGCAGCTGGACCTTTGTATTTTATGAGTAGACTTGCAATAAAGCTACTACTCAGACACACACACACACACGCAAAAAAAACATTGAAAATACACTGAACATCAAGACTCCCCTGTGTCAGACTCCCTTGTTGATTGTATTAAATTTTTCAATTGCCATTGCAACTGATATCCTGACCTTTAAGCAGTGTAAGGTTTGTGAATTCAACCTATATGACATTCGTACGGGAGTTAAACTTTACAATATGATACACAAAATAGCGTTAGCTAGTGAGGAACAAGTGAGGAATGAATCAGGAATGATCTGATAATCAATTAATCATAATAAGTAGTTAGTGAGTAACTGTGAATGGAGGACTATATAGATTTAGTATAGAACAGACTGAGATACAATATTAAAGTATCATCAGGTAATGATTAATTATTAAATATCTGTAAACTGACATACTGAACACTATCTTCATGAGTCATTCCTGAGTAACTCAAAACAAGTAATTACCTAATCATTAGTTAATCTTGTTGTGCCCCCTCAAGTAAGGTGACAAATCATACTAAGTAGTTACTAAGTAATCCCCTAATACTTCATGAAGACGACAAGCAGCTACTGAGTTTTTAAATTCACCAGTAAAAAATGTATATGTGATTGACACAAATTAAAATTATGAAATATATTTCCAAGAAAAAGACATTACTGTGAAATGGGTCAACTAATCTTTACAGATATTTCAGTCTATTTGAGAATGCTGCAGCTTCTTCCAGTTGGACATTTATGACAACTTGTGACTAAAAAATTGGGAAAACAGGTTTATACTGAAAATACAGTTGACTCAAATATATATAAATCTATATTAAAGCACAAAAACATATTTTCAGTGCGTATGGGTTGATTTCATGTTGTGGTAAAGTGAAACCAAACACACATTTACGTTCAGAAACAAAATAGCACTTATAGTATGAGTTGGAGAATGATCTGCAGTAATATACATGATGCTGTATGTCCTGTATATGCAATTATATTTAATGGGGAATCATGGGAGTTCTATTCACTTTAAAAAAATTGAATCTGCTGCTGGGATTCCAACAGCGTAATGCTGTGTTTGTGATTTTGTGACTGTATATCTTCATTTCCTTCTTATACATCTCCCAGAATCTCATTAAAAAGTTGCTAGTTGGAATCCTACAATGGATGCTCCTGTTGGTGGGCTCATATCCAGGCTTATTAACTGCTGTTGTGCCCATGGTGCAGGCTGCCCTGAGCCTGCTCCAGGCTACGTGGACTTTATCTGACCCTGAACTGCTGCTTGCACCAATAATCTTCTATCTGTGTCTATGCAGCCTTTAGGATGAGAAAATACAAACTGAACAAAACCTATAAAACACACTTTTAATTATGCTTTTAATTGACAACATTTATTCCCTCTAAGGTTAACTTGAAGATTAAAGTTGAATTCTTTTCACTTTTTTTGCCTAAATGACATGTAAAAGGAAAATATCTTAACTGGCCTTGATACAGCCCATAAAATTGTTGATGGATGTTGAGTCTGCTAGAGCTCTGTTCATACAAAGTGGACTATTAATGGACGTCTGATCCTTTTCACCTGCCTCATCCAAAACTGACAGACAGTGAGATGGTTTGTTTTCTGCCATCACTTTACATACTTTACATTCTCTCATGCAGAAAAACTGCACTTTTAGCCTTCAGCTTTACATAAATCTGACGCTAATCATAATTTTAACCCTAGACCAGAGTACAAATTTTATTGTAGTTATTTTCAGGAGTGAGGTGCAGCAACACGCTTTGGAGAATTTTCTATATAATGTCATTTTGCCCCGAAGAAACATCAGCTGATGTACAAATACACACATTCACACAAAGAAATGTAAATATATCCCTCCCCAGAGACAAGTGCTGTGGATGGTCTCAGGTACTTACAGTCTCCTGTAGTTTCGTATTCATATTTATGGGAGTAGGAACTGTATCCAGCTGGCGTGCGAGTTCTCACACTGAAGACGTACCAGGTCGCGGGTTTTAAACCTGAGATGATCACACTGGGAGCCTTGGTACGCGTTGATGAGTAGCTCAACTGCTCATGTTCCTGTGGAAGAGAGTGGAAGATGAACAAAATAATAATATAATAATAATAAGACATTCAGAAAAGGTTTCCACGAAAAATGATCTTCGTGATGATCACATGACACCTTACTTTCAATTTGCACTCAAAATATGTGTGTATACTGTTTATTTCACTGCTAATTACACAGCCAGTGACAAAGACTGCCTTCTAGCCACATTCTTACCTCAAAAGGGTCATTATCTGTCCTTGGAAGCATATTTGGAGTGCTTAATAATG